ATAGTGGAGAAGAGAATTCTGGAGAAAGTGCACAGTCGCTTCATAGTGACGCTAGCCTACGCCTTTCAGACCAAGCAGGAGCTCTGCCTGGTGATGACCATCATGAACGGGGGAGACCTCAGGTAGACGCGAGAAGGCATCTGTGTTACTTTAAGTAGCTCCAAAGCAGCCATATTGTCATCTGCTTGTGAGGCAGTCCGCTAGTAGGTTAGCCACATGCTAGCTCAACATTACAACTATTAATTCTTTTAATTATTAAGAAATTAAAATTAACTAGATCTTGTTCAAAGGCGTGGATCAGAATTCGTCAGTTGCCCTGCGCCCCTGCAAACTGACTGAAATGTGATGCTTGAAATGCAGACCAAAAGACACAGCAGCAGAAAGTGCGGTGGTCTGCCAGAAGGTGAACTGGATGTTACGCGATCCAGCCAGTCACCGCACATTCTAAAATAAAACCAGTCACTAAAAACACAAAATCGATCAAGTAGCCCCTGATCCTGGTAGTCTGTGGTAACCATAAGATGTAGACGGGCTTTTCGAAGCTTCATAAATGATCAAACTGAGATAGCTTGCGTGATAAGATTGCCCAGCCACAGCTTATGGGGCCCTAAGCTTTGAGCTCAGAAATATCGCCCCCCGGTGGCTACTGTGCCCAGTGATCAGCAGACAGATCTAATGAATGTAGAGCCGCATCCAGCTGTAATGCTGGCCTTAATCTTACTTGAGAAGAACCACCTGAAGGTTAGCTTCACACTGAGCTATTCTTCAAGACATTACATCTACAAAGGAACAAAGTCTTAGAAACCAGTAGACCAATCAAACACCTCCAGAACGATCATAGTGACATCTTAACTGGCTCAGAGCAGCACCGTGCAAACATCACAGAGTCACGCGTGCCCATACTCATTTGGCCGATTATTAACCCTGACGCCCAAGTGTCCCTCAGAGCTCTGGTTTCCTCACGTGAGCAGGTATCACATGTACAACGTGGATGAGAAGAACCCAGGCTTTAGTGAGACCAGGGCCTGCTTCTACACAGCGCAGATCATCTGCGGCCTGGAGCACCTGCACCAGCACAGGATCGTCTACAGGGACCTGAAGCCGGAGAACGTGCTGCTGGACGACGCAGGTAGCGCCCAGCCTGTGGCCTCTGATGGCTTTTGCTTCCTGCTGGTGTCTGTACTGACTGCATTAGCCTTAGCGGCGTGATGTTCCCATTTCACTTCCAGGTCACGTGCGCCTCTCTGACCTGGGCCTGGCGATTGAGCTGCCACCAGACAAAGATAAAACAAAGGGTTATGCAGGCACACCAGGTCAGTGGGACAACAATCACGTGTGCATTTAATCATCCAACATTACGTACCATCGAACATAGACACTGACCACCAGGCATCATAACAATAGCAACGTTAGCATTAGCTTAAGTTAGCAATAGCTTCTTGGGGAACCAGTAGGATGTTAACAATAGTGATGTTAGCATTAGCTTAAGTTAGCAATAGCCTCTTGGGGAACCAGTAGGATGTTAACAATAGTGATGTTAGCATTAGCTTAAGTTAGCAATAGCCTCTTGGGGAACCAGTAGGATGTTAACAATAACAGCATTAGCTTTAACATTAGCCTATGGGTTGTCATTTGTATTTCAGCATAGCAACAGAAGTTTCAGTTAGCATTAGCCTTAAGGACGGTAAGCTCCAGGTCCACTATAACGGAGGCGATAGCATTGTCGCGCACAGTGTGACGACTAGTGCCACCCTGTGGTTGTATCAACACCTGGTGGGTCTGTCCCCAGGCTTCATGGCTCCCGAGCTGCTGCAAAACAAAGAGTATGATTACAGCGTGGACTATTTCACTCTGGGGGTGACGCTGTTCGAGATGATCGCCGCCAAGGGACCCTTCCGGAGGCGGGGCGACAAGGTAAACTCCCTGGGGCCAACAAAGTGACCTCTCCAGCTTTCATATGTACTTACATATGCATCCAATAGGTGGCGCGATGGTTAAGCAATCAATCTAAAATGACCTATAATATAGTTGTTCAGTTAGCAAAACATTATGAGTAGTTAAGATTGACCGGCTGAATAGTGCAACTTCTCAGATATTAGCCAGTGGGTTTAGACTTTATTACGCCACATCCTTAACTACATGAAAGATCAGCAACACATCCAGGCAGATTAAAGAGTAAAACGGTGATCTTTGTATGTGACTGTCTAAAAAAGTTTCAGGTAGCAGCTAAAATACACTTGTCCGCTCCAACATTGGGGAACGTTCTGCCTGGCATTTGATGGCCCTCACATGGGCGGTCATCCAACACCTCCCAGGTGGACAACGACGAAGTGACCCGGCGCATCCTGTCAGACCCAGTCTCCTACCCAGATGCCTTCAGCAGCGAGTCCAAGGACCTCTGCGAGGGTCTGCTGGAGAAGGACCCAGAGAAGCGTCTTGGCTTCAAGAACAACAGTTGCAAAGTGCTGAAAGACCAGCCCTTCTTTGCGGAGATCAGCTGGGGCCGGCTAGAAGCAGGTGTAGCGTGTCTTTGTGCTAAAACATGCAAATATATGGACGAATTCTTTCGTGAAGGAAGTGCTGTCATTTAATCATTTTTAATGTGCTCCTCCAGGTTTGCTGTCACCTCCCTTCATCCCAGACCCCAAGATGGTGTATGCCAAGGACATCGAAGACGTGGGAGCCTTCAGCACTGTCAAGGGCGTGATGCTGGACCAGAAGGACGTCGACTTCTACAACGAGTTTGCCTCGGGGAGCACCCCCATCCCCTGGCAGGAGGAGATGATCGAGGCGGGCGTGTTCGGCGAGCTCAACATCTGGGCAGAGAAGGGCAAGCTACCCAGCGACTTGGACCCCGATTTCGTGGAGGTTAAGGGCGGAGCTTGTGTGATGCTCTGAAAGGATTGGGGACCTCGAAAGAAAGGAGAGCAAAGATAAACATGTGCGATCGACAAGTGATGCTAACGGGTTTGATGCAACTTGGCTTTACTCCTTCATGATCCATGTAATTAACTCTCTTTAAAAACTGTAACCATGTAACTCTCTTTAAAAACTGGGGTTAAAGAGACCCCTACTGAATAAACTTGGCTGGACCAGCTTAGGCTGGTTAATCAATTTATGATAGTGGACCAGTGTATGGTATGTTTTTGCATTATGGTTTGGTGATTTAGCTGGTCATTACAGCTTATTATGGTCATTTTACTGGGACAGCCCACAGTAGTACACTCTCAGAAAAGAAAAAAAAAAAGAGTACCAATTTGTGCCTTTACTTGTCGCTGGGTTGTACCCTTAAGGGTCTGCCAATTGTACAATAACCTATAGCTGCAGGTAGTTGTACATTTTAAGGCACAGAACGGGACTATGAGGAACATTCTTGTACCATTGATGGTTCATTAACGTTGTTTGTACCTGAGGGATGTTCCTCAGAGTCCATTTTTGTACATTTAAAGGTACAATTCGTTACAGCTATAGGGTAAAATTTGCAGACCCTCACTGGTACAGCCCCAGTGACAAGCAAAGGTACAAATTCGTACTGGTTTTTCTGACTAGTGGAGTGAGAGCTAACAGGGTGAGAAGAAACAGGTGATACTAATCACGTTGTTTTGGACCTTTGGAGGCAGGATTGGAATCTACGAAGTAGCAGGTGCATCTATCTGCAGTAGAAGTGGATAGTAGGATAATGAAGTGTGTTTTCAGATGAACGGCATTTCCAAAATATATCCAGAGCTCTTCTGGTGCGCCTAAATAATAAATCTGGTTATCACACAAGTTATCTTGGAAAAGAAGTGTGTGTTGGTGTTAATATTTAATATTTATAAATGTAATTATTTTTCCCGCGACCCTGCCAGGATAGGCGGTTAAAAGAGAGTTGGGTGTTTTTATTATGCGGGAAACTGAATATGTAAACGTCGATCCTTGATGTTTTTGATACTTATTCAAATCTTTGAAGATGCTACCAATTAAGGAGTATCTCATAACGTCTTTTCAATTGTTCTGTTGTTTTTGGAAGAAAAGCGAACGCAAAATGGACTGATAACTTATCACAAAATTGCTTGTAGGTCAAGCAATTATTTCTTTCCACTTCACCATTCGATTCAAATGGTCTTATTCAAAGACTGAACTGTAAAGCTGAAATAGACGGGAAACCTCGTTGATGTTTGCTGGCGGATTCCTGGGGAGTCATTTCTGATACTGACATTTATCTGTAAACGTCTGAATTGAGACGTTGAGAAGTAAATGTAAATGCAAGTGTTCTGATTAAATCAAGTTTTCGATTAGGCCTAAATAAAAGATATACGAAACACAGATGCAATTATTTTTGTAGATGTTTAACTATAGATAAGTTTATATATTTTTGGACTTAGTACAGATCTACATCACAAACCATGTGCTCGTATAAATTACCCAATAAAAACACAAGTATAGGAACGTAATTTGTCGGGTGGTGATTTTACATCGCAGTCAAAAATTAGTAGGTGACGTGAAATTTCAATTTTTTGCGGAATTCTTTCCGTCAACATTTTACCAACTGGGATAACTGCAAGATAAAATTACCAATAAAACCTGTGTTTTCCTCACAGTGACTCTTGGTTGCACGAGATATAGACTCAATTAAGATGACCAACTTACTAAGCCAATAAACGTAATTCACCTTTGCAGATCGGTCAAATAACCTTTCAATAAATACAGCTGGCGCAAATTTATCGCCCTGTACTGGATGACTGTACAAAAAACATAAACCATAAAATCAGTGTCGTTTCAAGGAAGGGCACCTCGAAAGCCGAGTGGAGATCTGTAGCCTGCCATTACATAAAACAGAACTTCACTAAAACCCAAATAACTCACATACATGTCTGTAGACTGTGTTAATTTCTTTTCTCCTTCCATGCTGCAAAGAGAGGGATGAAAGGGGGAAAGTAGAAAGTCGCACGATCAGGATGCAACTCTGAGAGAGAGAACGGGAACCAAAAGCTTAGGCTTGTCAGCTCTCCATCCCCGCCGAGCGCTAATTTCTGCTGTGATCGTGCCACGGATAAATGCGGCAGAGGACCGAATTCGTTACCTGAAGTTAATCACTGCAAAATTTTGATTTATCAACGCATCGGTAAGGAGATCAGAGACCATCCATATAAGCATTAGAATAACACCTCAATACTTGAACGGTGAAATATTAAAATGCGCGTAAAATGTTGACCGTGGTGTTAGTAGAGATATGCATGTCACCGTTATACGTGGGAAGAACATTGGGAATTTTCACAAAACAGCGGTCAAAAGTTGGTATGGCAATAGCAGCTACTTTGGCGCTTTATGTAGCGTATGTCCAGATATTTTGAGCATATTGTTGAGGCTACTGCATGTTTTCTACATTAAAACCTTGTCAGGTGAACAGGATCATATATACTGGACGGCACTTTGTTGGCAAAATGTATTAAATGTCTGTTATAGGCCTGAATTATGCGCAAAGTCTATTTCATAGCACGGATGTTGACATCAGAAAATCGATTTAATGACTTTACGTGGTCTAAATCAGAACTCCAAATGAAAGTGTCACTGAACCTTAAAAAACAACTTCTTCCAAAAGAAGAACAGGGAAACGGTTACTGGCAAAGTGAGAAGTAGGATGCGGTGTATTATAATGACTATAATGAGAGGCTGGCCGCGTTATTATCTCTTACAGAAAGCAGTGTGTTTTTCTCACGTAAAATGGGCATCATACTGTGGGAATGGCAATGCTATAAAAACGTTATGGAGGATGGATGGATGGATTTTGAATGTAATTTTAATGAATTTCTTCGGTTTCTCCCAATTTCTTTATCACTTCCTTTCACAGAGCCCATAACATACTCCCAGTAGCTATTACTCCGTATCCCAAGGCCCTTGGTCCACGTATAGGAAAGGGACATAATACCTTCAGATAACACTGAAGGCAATGTCCCACTCTGGGGATCCTCCCGCAGAGAAATGTTCTCTCAGGCACAAGCCCCAAGACCCGCTGAAACCGGACCATTGCTATCACCGGTATCCCCTTCCGCTGACCCAAATGGGCCTGCAGGGGTACGTGAGGAGTATAATTTGCCATTTCAACTGCCAGATCTGTGCCGAAGAGCCCCACCAGACGAGCACCTTTGTCTCCGGACACCAGGCGGCCTGTCACGCTGGACGGATTTCGACAAAGATCGATCTCGACAAGCCAGCCAGGAGAACGGACCAGAATAAATACAAACATGCAGGTAGACCCCTGATGTCATTCACTTTTAAGCAACAGAGTATTTCGTCCATCAATTACAATTAGCCTATCACTTTCGTAAAGTCTAATAAATAATTTCCGTAAATAAAAAGAACTGGACATGTTTTCATTCACAAATTTTACCATTTTAATGCTTAGTTATAAAGCTTCTGAACTACTTTAAAATATTACATTTAAATCAGATCAGTGTGCAATTAGGGGTGTAGTGAAAAACCAATTTGAATCATAAATCCGGTCCAAGTGTCTAAGATAGGCTACTACTGAGTCGATTCAAAACCGCCAAATCGACTTAAATTTAAGAGAAAAATAGACAAAAGAGTTAACACCGTAACAAATCGATATACTCTTTCCTGACACTATTACGGCATATATATATATATATATATATATATATATATATATTTTTATATTCAGGTTCAGTTACCTACAGTCTATTTTTCTGCAATGTGAAATAGACTCAACATGAGTTGTTGAAGACGTGTTTACTTTAAAAATAATAGCACATTTCCACTGCAGTGGCAATGTATGGAATCGCTACATGTTTAAATGTAAAGCATATCGTTTTAGATTGTATCGCTTGAAATCTGCATGCACGAAAACGCCTGGTGGCCACAGGTAAAAAGGAAGCTGACACAACTAGAAAGTACCAGAAAGAAGTGCGTCCCGATGCAGGCGGGCGGATTCGCGTCTTCGGTTCCGCCTATCAGAGAAGCTGAATCGCTTTTTACATTTTAAAGGAAAACCACGTCCATACCGGGAAAGCAACATCTCCTCTGAGTTAATGACTGAGAGTGCGCCGGTCTGGGACTTAGCAGGATCGCACAAGTGCAGATCATAATTTTCTGAGGTATTTCAAGGGCGAATGAACTTCATTAGTGAACTAATTCAGATTTTTCTCTCAGTTGTGAGATTAATCAATCAATCAATCAATTAATCATTTATTAATCAACAATTAATTTGTTAACTGTTTAATAGGAGTACCTACTGTGTTCAGGGTCCCACTAGAGTCAGTTGGACTAAATTCTTCTGTTGAATACATGCATGGTGTAAATTATGAGTGGGTTGTAACGCCCCCCAATAATCAGAACAAATTTAAGCCCGCGGCTGAATGTCAAGAAGAATAGCAACAAAATCAGTTCTCTGGTGTCATGAATCTGCTTGCAGGAACCCCGAGCTCAATCCCTGAGCCACAGTCCAACTCCACAGGCACTGATGACGCCCCCCCGCCCCTACCTCCACGCTTACCTCCTCGGTTGCCACTTCTTGAGGATGAATCCAGAAGCTGTAGTTCCACCCCTCAACCCCAAGGTGGCTCTTTGAGACTTCATCAGGCTCTGTCAGTGCACACCCTGCACTGTAAATAAGTCAAATCTTGTTGTATTTGAATTCCTTTGTATAAAAGTTTCTGACTATTGATGCTCAATTTCCCCAGATGAAGAACAGGAGGCAGACTTGGTGAAAGTGAGAAGGTAAACTACTTTTTTAATCACAAATGTCTCACACACCAGGACAGACCCAAGCCATCTTTCAGTTAGCTGCACGTACACTTCCGTCATAGTAGAAGTCACGTGATCACCAAGTGGACATTGATTGGCTGACGTGGTCGGCTTAATCCCTCCCATTTTCTCTGTCCCAGACCAGCTGGCAGGAGCCTTAAACGGATGTCCACTGATTGGGAATCTCAGCTTCAGTATGGTAGCATCACTCAGCTTCTTTTCCTTTATAGGCTCTGATATCACCAGAGCCTGTTACTCTCACAGTTTTAAAAAAGCATCTTTATATTGCAAATCTTAGTGCCTGTTGCATCATAAGGATAATTTAAGTCTCTCTCTGTATTATTTACGAAAAACAGGGTGATGCTGATCATCTGAGCAGTGTTTTATCCGTTGTTTATTTACGTGTCCTTCTTTTAATGTTCCCCCAGAGCCTTTGTACCAGACCTACCGCACTGCGGCTATCACAGAGGAGATCGAGCGGCAGACAGTATGCTCTCCCAGTGGACCAGGTGCCGACAAGCCCTGCCAGCGGTGGTCCAGGGACGATGGGAAAACGCTGTGGCAGGAGCTGCCCACCGTGCGGAAAAGTGGCGTCCTCATGCATCTCAGCCCGGGGGAGTGCAAGCACCAGGAGGTGAGGGGTTTGAGGAGCATAAGGGGTGGGGCAAAGATACAGTGCTAGGTAATTGGCTACTTGGTAGTGATGGACACTGGCTGTCATGCTTGATGGCCAGTTGCCTTTTTGTGAGACAAATGACTATTGGATGATATTGATATGAAATAATTAAAAACCCGAAAAATTTGCGTAAAATGAAATTGATTCAGTAAATATGTATCACACCATATAATTAAATAAAGGTATAGAATTACCACCTGTATAAATCCTTTTGGATAAACTTAAACCAACATTGAGGCTGGTTTTTGCAGGAATGATGTTTAATGCCCCCCACCCCGTGTCCGCCCCCCACAGAGCATGTTTGAGGTGCTGACGTCGGAGGCCTCGTACCTGCGCTCCCTCCGTGTCCTCATCGAGCACTTCATGGAGTCCCGTGACCTGGTCGAGACGCTCGTCATCCGTGACAAGAAGACACTCTTCTCCAACATTGTGCGCGTGCGGGAGGTCAGCAAGAGGTGAGGGCATGGGAATCGGGGGCTGTGATTGGCTGAGGTTTGTGGCAGGGGGCGGGGCCTTCAGACTGACCACTCACACGCAGAAGGCGAAGGTGAAGGGTCAGCCTTGCTAACCATGATGCCATTATTGTCAAAAACCATTCAGCTACTTCCTCAAGCAACAAAACTGCCCACACCCATAAGAGGGACGCTTCATCGTCCAAATTGGACGTTATGTTTATGGTTAATGTGTTTATGACGTATTTCCACAAGTATCAGGACCTTCATGAATAAAAGCTTCACATCCTGCTCTGCCTTCACTCCATCTCTGAATTCTCCTTCCAAACTGCCCTCCCAAACTTCCACTGGCCACTGCAATCCACACTGCATCTCCTCTGTACCTGCCCTCTCTCTCTGGCCCCCCCCCCCCCCCGT